ATACATGGTATTCTAGGCAGAAGTGGAGGAACAGTAGTGGGTGATTGTCTTTATTTCTGAAATGTTCCCTGAGAACTTCCAGAAATGCTTCAGAGGTCCTGAATGTGTATGAGGAGACAACAGCCAGCACAACTGGGGTTCTGTTATTTATGTGAAGTAGAGAGGCCTGGGGAAATGTGAGTTTTGTTTTGTTGGGAAGTTATTTTTCTATAATACTTAGACCTTGTTTTTCCCTCTGTGGTATATACCACTGTGTCTTGTCCTCTTTCTATTCTCAAATGGTAAATCATACCTTCTCATTTATATTGTTATCTTGCTGATACATAAAACTGGGATCATGTGTCTCCTGAGTTTCTTCTGTTTTCTTAAATTCAGTTTTCTTGGTTGCCCTGTGTGGTTCTAAAACCAAAAATACTTATTCTGTTTCTTGGTTTCATTTCTTCATAATGCTTCTCTTGTGAGTTGTATGAATGGCTAGAACTATAGACCAAAATCCAGTCTTAGCCTAAATAGCTAAGTTAGATGTGTACCTATTGCTGAGAAACCCATTTATATTTCTTTATAGTAGGCAAGGAAAGAAGTCATTGGCTGGGGGACAACAAGCAAGTTTTAAGTATCTATAGTTATCTAGTAACAAAACTCATGTGGAGTTGTGCATTTGTATTTTAAGTGTGGTTCTCACTTCTGTGAGGTCTTTCTTTATGTGCTTATTTTCCCTATATTTGATCTTATAATGACAAAGTAAGGAATCTTGGTGGGCAATTCTTTACCACATGGATTATAAACATATAGGACTTAAAACCTTAAGTGGTGATAAAGAAAGTCAAGAATAATTTATCAAAATTCATAGAAAAAAATTCATAGACACTAGGTCTATACTAGGTTGTTAAGGGAAAATCAGATGTTCCTTTCACCCAAACTTCTAGAAAGAATAGTCTATATGCTAAGAACACAAAGGAGAGAGGAGAAAAGTTGGGGGGGGGGAGTTCCTGTAACTTCCATGCTTCACAGGTACACTATTCCTATCTTTATTACAGAACACTGCATTCTAATTCGATCATACAGTTTATAGTCATGCTTCCTTGAACAGTATGTGAGCTTTTCAAGACAAATATCCTCTTTGGTTTTGCATCCTCAGCACCTAAACCAGTATATGGCACTGAGGAGGCATTCAATAAAATTATTTAAATGTTGAATGAATACTATCTATCTCCATAGTTTCACCATCTACTCACTGTGGAGCTCCTACATTCTGACTCTTAGTTACATTATAATATTGAAGTGACATTCTTTACAAAGGAATTAGAAAGCTCCCAGGTAGAAATCACTGGGGTTTATCCTTTTTGACTCCACTATATAATATGTCATTGTTGAAAATGCCTACCCTTTCTGCCTTCTGAATACTTTTGTCTTTCTTTGCTTCTAGTACAATGTCTAGATTCTCCTCCTACCTGTCCAACTGGCTTTTGTCAGTTTTCTTATTTGCTTTTAGCCCCTAAATGGAAGAATTTTCAAGGTCCTATCTTTGACTCTCTTGTCTTGTTAATAATCCCTCTAATAATCTCTTTCATTTCACAACGTATAATCAGAATGCTTAAGTACTCAACCATTTCCTTATGAAATCTATACCCATATTTCTAAGAATCTTCTGTAAATCTTGATTTTGATGCTCTGCTACCACTTTCCAGTTTATTTTGTCCCCAAATGAATTTATCTTCTACTACCACCACTCCTTTTCCTGATCTTAACTATTTAGTAACCTACTTGTCCTCCAAGTCAACTGAACTCAAAACCCTAGAGTTATCTTTGACTTTTAGATATTCTCTCTCTATGTTATCTCCCTTAACAATGTGTCTGTAGACTCCTACTTCATTTCTTACACACCTATAGCTTAAAAGTCATAATGCACAACTTTGAACATCTTCCTATGGCTGAAAAACCTCCATTAGATTCCTTTGCCTACAGAAATACATGCTACACCTAGTGTCTCATTTCAGTATTTAATGATGTGGCGCCAGCTTCCACTGTTGAAATCTCTATTCATCCTGCAAAACCTTTTCTTCCATGATTATTTTTCTGATATACTCAATAAAGCTTGTTATCTTCCTTCTTTGAACTTACATAGTATGTTATTAACACCTTTTGCTTTCTTTTATCTTCTGCCTTATTTTGTAGTCTTTCTGTACTTTTTATCTTTCTTACTAGACACAAGGGTTTTATAACTAAGGAATCCTTATCTTTATTATTTCTGCATCTTCTATCACATCTAGCATAGTTCCCTTCACAGAAACTATGCTCTTAACAGAAACAGCACACTCAGCTGAATGGGAAGTAGACAATATTTGGGAGCTCTTTCTAACTTATCTAATGTCACAGTCTTGGGGAGGGGGAACAGGCCCAGTGTAGAAGATTTGTTAAAATTCAGGCAAGTAATCATATGATTGTTTAATATATTGATTTGCTAATAAAAAAATACAGACTATTACCTCATTTTGTTTAAATCCACAATTGGAAACATTCCAATTAGAAACACAATGGTTGAGCTGTGTAAATACAGTAATTTCCATCTGTAACTGATAATAATGGAAATGGCAAGCAGAACAGAGTACATCCTTGCTGTTTGTGCTAGACTCTGATGTGAAACTTTTTGGTCTATTTTTTTTTGTATTTTACTTCCCTTGGGGAAAATTCTATTCTTCATAATTTTGCTTTTCTGCTTTTATCTCATCATGTTGAAATGGAAGTTATTAGAAAGGATCAAGGATTATTGTGTTGAGAAGGGGAAGGGTAACAATTCCAAATCCAATGGGAACTTGGAAAGGAATCAAATAAGGTAACTAAGAAAGCAAAAACAACAGGGGACCTTCATGAAAAGATGACTTAGCTAGGAAAGGTCAAGATGAAGAGGAAATCTCTAAAAGTCTCTGGCTCTGCCACTTCTATAAAAGAGGCAAGTAGACAGAAGAGGTTTTGAAGACGTATAAACTCTGTGCCTTCCCCTCCCCTTCTCTTGCTTCCTGTTCTACTGATGTCCAAGATGTTTACTAACTGTTGCCACTGCCTGTCTGCTGGTTTCTTTTTGCCTCTGCATATTTGCTGTGGCTGTTGCCAATCGGAATGACTGCTGTATTTAAATGCACCATTTTTCACCCTATGTGTTAATTGGGGCACTCTAGCTACAAACCAAAAATAACAATTTAGATGACTTGGAATTAGTACTATAAAATTATACAGTTTGTGAATGTATTCTTGGTGTTTCACAATTGATGACACTGTATTCCCCAGAGTACCAGGCTCAGAAAACCCCCAAGGATTGATCTCTCTCCAGTACAGCTTTTCTAGAATCAGTATGAGGTGTGAGACTTATCAGGAAGGGGCCTTAACAAATGTGTAGTTTTAAAATAAGCAGACTAGAAAGATTACAGAAGTCCTTTTATGGCCCAGAATAACATGCTTTTACTTATTGATACAAAAATTACTATTTCAATTCAGCTTTCACTGACTATTATTGTTCTGATAGTTCAACAAAGAGCAGTGAAGGTTTTTATTGTCCTTAAGAGGTGGAAGGTATTCTGATACCATGGTAGAACATTCTCACTTTTTAAAGACTGAGGATAGGTGGCATGGTTGCCTCATAGTTGTAGAGTAGTAGTGCTCTGGCATTTTGTCAGGCAAGTATACCTTAAAAATTTTATTATAAACATAAAAATACAGATTTCCATTTTCTTCTCTCTAATCTTTGACTCTTTTTTGGCTACTTTCAATTTCTGCTTTTTATAAGCAGTCTTGTGTTCTATCCCAAACACTTCTCTCCTCTACATGAAATCTTATCTTTAGGCTAATCTCTACAGAGCATCCATGAAGGGAAGAGATGGAGTGTTATCTGTTATCCCTCGGGATTCACCCAAATGTGAAAAAGATTTATATAACTTAAATTTGCTTCCATCATGAACTTCACCATTGCCAAAAGCTTTCCTGAACAACTGCACTGGGTTCTACTTATCTCACTAGTTTGTTCAATTACAATGGTCTTGGAAGCTATGAATTTCCATTCTTACAACATAATAACTGCTGGATCAAAGAAAACTTTCTATCCAAGTCAAATATTGCTAATTTAAATTAAGTAGTTTACATATTTACTATTATTTTTTCATTTATTTCTCCAATATAGTGTCACAGCCCATGAAGAAGACTTTTAAAATCAACAAACCTAATTTCCTCCTCTACTTTAAGAAAGAAATGCACTGAAAACATAAAACCTTATGGTGGAGATGGACTGTTAGGATTACTTGGATTTTCCTGAGAGGAACTATTATTTACTCAGCCATAAGGTATGAATAGATAAGGAGGCCAACTTTCTAGTTGCACTTGAGTGAGAGAAGTTTTATTTTGCTTCCTTTGTGTTCTTCCCCCCTCAGACCAATTTTCACAGTGCACCTTTATCTGTTATCAATCAATTACACTCATAAAAAATTGTTTCAGTGCTTTGTGATTTTTTGAGGGTCTTGAATTATCTGTGACTCTTCTTCCTTTATTAACATGGATAACAGACTATTATTTATATTACTGTACTACAAAAGCAAAATGGACTTTAGAAACATGCACTATCTCAGTTTCCTTACCTGTGAATAGCTAATGTGACATCCTTGGGGCCAATTATTTTTTTATGATTTAATTACACTCATGGTTTTAAACCACCTTCCACCCAAACCACATGTTCATAAAATAACAATTAAATATTTAATATTAAACACAGTGGGAGTCCTTATATTTGATATATTTGCAAAGTGTACAGTTATTTGAAGATACATTTAGTGAGCTGAAATTTGCAATCATGTAGATGTAGACGCCTGCTGAGATTTCACACATGAAATGAGATCAACTGTTTAAAAAAGCCTGTATGGGAAAATTTCATTATTTTTCTTTTTTTGGAAGGCATGGGGTACTTGGCTCTGAACATTCAGATTTGATAAGACCATGTGAACTAGAGTAGATATTACCTGGATTCCTTGGAATCCGCTTTCTGCGGTCTCGGAATGCTGCACCTGATTGTAGGGCTTCTAGAAGATTATCCATCACACCAGTCTCATCACCCTCTGGAGGAAGGAAGAAATCGGAATTAATCTTGGAGCAATTAAAGTTAAACTACAGGAAAATAAAGGGAAAAACTCCTGTCAGATTTACATAATACCCCTAAATTAAAGACATATATCTGTTTTAACATAATGGATCCTGTCAGTTTCTGGCACCACAGACTACTTTGCTTATTACGCACCATTAAGCAAAATTCATGCCAATCCCACTGTTCTTTCAACTTAAAGACCTTGTCTTTTGTATTATTGATGACACGCTCAGTATGCAAATAAACAGTAGCTGATCAGCTACTGCTGCCTTCCTGTTAAGATTCTTATAAGATATTCCTAAGCAAGAAACCACTGACCCGGCTTAATGCAATCAATGTGCAGGGCGCAATTTGATGAAGCGGAGTTACACAAGGTTAAATACTGATTGTATTAATACCTTCAGCATTCAACCATCATCTGTGATTATCTCAAAAGACACTATTTGCAAAACACATTTGCATTCAATTCCTACCTAATCCATATCCTATACTCATTTTGAAATGCTGACATTGTATAAAGAAAAGGTGATCACATTATCTGAAAGGCCACATTCTACATTTGAGAGACAGCAGCCAACATCTCATTTCCTTTTCAAAATGCTGTCCTGTGCTTAAACTCTTCCTCTGGGAAAAAACTGTTAAGAAGCCATAAGTGGAATACTCAAAAGATGTTCATAGAAATCCCTAACAGTAACAACATTTAAAACATTTTGTCTTACTCTTATCTTTAACAACTGTGGTAATCAAACACACTTTTAAGATTTGTTAGAGCATTTTTCTCAAGGTGTCAATTACCAAAAAACTCTATTAAGCTGTGGGAAATCCACAGGGAACTGAGCATTCTCATCCCAAATGGCCAAACTGATGGAAATGAATTTAACTAGGGGGCTACTTTGAGCAGTAGCTAAATATGTGTGCCTTGGGTAGAAGATACTTTAGGCAGGATGGCTAAGAGGAGAAGGGAGGTGTGAGGGAGAAGACATTGTTTCTGATGTTACTCCAAAATTAAATCAAAATCCTTCTTTGGGGTATCAGATTAACTAAGGGGCATCAAATTAACTATGGGGTATCAGATCATAGAAAAAAAATCTCCTATGGGACAAGAGCAAGCTAAAATCATTTGACTTGAAACTTCTTCAATGTTATAATAATTTATTCTATTAAAATAAATTATCTAGAACAGGATATTAAATACAAAACACGGAGAAACACAGAGGTTCTCAGGTCCTACATTTGGTGAAAATAGGACGAGGCAAGTAGAGCCCCAATGACTAAATAGGAAAAGAGAATTTATTGTGTACTTTTAATATTCAGTAAGGTCTCAGACACATGTGAACCATTACCTGTTCTTTTCAATAGAAAGAAAAGAAGAATTGAAAGAAGGTTGACAGGCTAGAATGCATCAGGGAGAATTAAATTTTATGAAGTAGATACTTTATATTTGTTATATCTTTAATTTAGAGATACTGAAATGCAGATTTCACATGGCTGGTGTACAGATCTATCAGGGAATAAGACTAGCTGCCCATCTTTTTTTTTTTTTTCAGTCCTGGGGATTAAACCCAGGGCCCCAAGCATGCTAAGCAAGTGTTCCACAACTGAATTACAGCCCTGGACCCGAGAAAGCCTGATCCGCACAATAGCTAGCATAAGTTAAAATGGACAAAGCATATGTTAGCCAGATCATAATTCTATGATACAGGATTTGAACACTACCCTAACATCAGTACTATCTAATTGGTATATAATGAAGATCACAAATGCATGCCATATCATTTTGCATATTCTGGAAGTCATATTAAAAAAATTAAAAACCCTACAAAATTCATTTCAATATATTAAGTAAATAGTGAAATAAATATCTACAAAAATTAGTGATATATTTTACATTCCTTTTATCAGATTAAGTCTTAGAATTGTAGGTGTCCTTTGACATACCTCAATTCATATTAGCTGAATTTCAGGTGCTCATTAAATGCATGTAGCTCATGCTTACAGTACTGTACAGCACAGATAAAAATAATACAAAGTGAACTTATCAGATTTATATTTTAGAAAGACTTGCTGGGTAGCATTATAAAGGATAATAATATCTCCAATAGAAGACAGGGGAAGTTTCAGGAGCAAAGCATAATCATCTAAATAAAACATAAAGTCCTGAAGTAATGAGAAACCAGAGAAAGAAAAGACAGATATTTTGAAATTATTATTATGGTAAGTAGGATTTTGCTGGGGAGAGGACAGATTGAGGAGGAGGGAAAGAATTCTAAATGACCAGGGATAAACAGTTTGAGAAAAGGTGATGACCTACTAGAAATTCCTAAGTAATAGCTATATAGGGATAACTAGCAGGAACCTGAATATATGGGTGTACACGGAGAAATGAAATGTGGGTTGGAACTAAAGATTTCTGTGTCATCTGAAGATGGATGAGATTACCCTGACATAGTGTATCAAAAGGAGAGTGGGAGGCAGAAAATGCAATTCTGGAGGACCTCAAATTTTTAAACTTCTTGAAAACTTTTTAAGTGACAAGTAAAAACTATATGTATTTCTGGTATATAACATGATGTTTGAGTAAATGTATATGCCAAGACATGGCTAAATAAAACTATTTAACATGTATTACCTCAAAATTATTTTCTGGAAAAACACTTAAAGTCTACTTTCTTAGCAATTTTTAAGTATATAGTATGTGACTATTAACTGTAGCCATCATGATGCACAATAGACCTCTTGTATTTATTCCTCCTGCCCAAATGAAATTAATGTCATCTGACCAACATTGCTGCTTGAAACTTCACACATGGCCTAGGACCACAAATTTTAATAGGCAGTAAGGAAAAGCAGAACTACAAAGAAGGGGAAGAAATTTTCAAAAATATACAAGTATAAACAAGAGAAAAGAGCAGCGTAGCGTAAGTGAATTTCATGTAGCCTTGTAAAAGTGGCAATTATAAAGATTACATAAAAATGAATATATGTAAATAAGTGGATAAAAATTCAAAGCAGTATATATTTATGGTTTACAAGAAATAAATGCAAACATAAAATACTTTATAACATAAGGACATTATGGATATTGTTTTCTTAAAGTTCTTTAATGGGATTATATTGTGATTAGACTAAAAAGTAGGAAATAAAAAATATGACAGAGAGAAAATTTAAAAATAAATCCCTTTGCTCAACTTAGTGGGTGCCACCTGACAACACTTAGTAAAACACTTCTAGGCTATCATCCTTTTCTTCATTATCATAGCCCCTCCCCATCCCGGAGCCTTTTTAGACATCTGTTTACCTAATGAACCCTACAGTCAAAATTTAATGTCATAGATGTATTGTATATCTGTTGCTGTACTGTGACCCTTTGGAGGACCCCCAAACCTTTGCAATAACTAAGATTTTTTTCTATCTATCTTCCCAAGAACCAACATTCATCCCCTTGGGGTTTCTAGTGCCCCTGCCAAATATACATGTTAGGTGGTTCTGCTAAAAAACAAACAAAAAACTGTTTGTAAATATCACATATGTATTATACAAAATAACTATGAGCATATTCAAGGAAAGAAATGTGGGTATCAGTTCATTACTTTTTCCTTTGCTCCATTCATAAGTTTTGAAAAAGCTGGGTGACTTTCATGAAATATTGAACTCTACTGAATCAAATTTTGTGAATACAATCATAGGAATGCTTTATATTTTAGTGAATCTCCCTAAAACAAAATGGAAGCCAACATGATCATTTGAAGACTGAAATTCATTTTGAATGAATTTCAGTGAAATTTGATCTATGATCAAATTGTGTTTTGACAATTTGATTGGTTTACTTAGAATTTCCAGTTTAATAGAATCATGAACATTTACTTACATGTGACTAGCTTTGTTTGGTCTATAAGTTTAAAATTTAAAAAATAGTTTAAAGTGTTTTTATTATTTAAAATAAAATAAATTTATAATTTTATCAAACACATATGGAACGATGTATCTTCTTACAACTTATAATATGTATTATACTGAGTGAAAGAATATCAAGGAAAAAATTGGTGATGCTTTTCAGCCACTAAAATGATTAATACATGGGCATGGCTGAGAAGTAATGATTCAGAGGCCACTTCATAAGCTTTCATTCCCAAATTAGTTCCAGAGCTCTGTGTGAGCTGCTTATCACTGGATAAAATGAAAGGCATGGGTTTAACCTTCTTTTTCATGTTTCCCACAGTATTTATCATTCAGTAGATGTTGAATGCCTCCTGATCTCAATTTAAAGTGTCAACATTTACCTATGTTTGCTGACTTAATTTCCCCAAAAGAGTTTGGAGAGGCTGCAGATTAAAAATATAACCTGATAATTATCTCTCTTATACTTTTGTGCAAGACTACTTCCTGATGGCTAGCACATACTTACGTAGGGACAATTTTCTGTGGATTTTTCACATTTCTATACATTTTACAAACATTGACACAAACCCACTGTGTTCAGCATCCACCTAGTCACAAATTTACACCATCCTATGGGAATTGGAAGACAATAAAAAGCAATACAAACATGAAGCTCATTCTGCTTGCTACACCATGAGTAACAATGGAATTCTATGTCTCTGACCCAGGAGTCTTGTGTCCTAGGTCAACATCCATTAAACGGAGGCAGGCTAACTTGTTAGCATGTAAAATATCTGAACACTTCAGTGTTTGAAACTATACTTCCTTTAAATCAAATATTATTAATTAGAATAACACTTATTATTCTAGAGACTTAAGTGCCTTTCTTTACCAAAAATCCCACTCCATATCACTAGACTTTGAAAACTACTAAACTAAAGCCAATACAGGTCGAGTATCCTTTTTTAATCTGAAATGCCTTGAAGCAGAAGTTTATCAGATTTCAGAGTTCATCTAGTTTTAGAGTATTTGCCCTGATCTTTACCAGTTGAGCATCTCTAATTAAAAACTCAAAAAATTTTAAAAATGTTTCAA